TGTTTTAAAGCTGGCAAAGGAGGAATTTCATCTGCATTTTTAAACTAATTTCCTACTGAATAACAATATCTGGCACTGGCAGCTGAGGGAACTGTCATTTTTAGCTCACTCCACCTGGCAAAGCCGATGACAATCGCTCTTTTGCAGATAAGCTGCTTGTCAGTTCTACTGTCAAGACAATCTGAGATGCTTACACAAGGAAACATTTACTAATGAATCATTTGAAAATTGTTTCTTGTTTCTCCTTCTCTGCTGAGCTCGCAAGTTCTGCTCCTTTTGCAGAGCACAGAACACGGAACCAAAGAGCCCAGCGAGCTCTCGTGGGAGAGCCAGGAGCACCTTCAGCAGCTGGGGATGGATTTTGGGATGACATGACACATGGCTGCAAGCAGTGCTTCAAACCAGCACATCTCCTATCTCAGGTGCCAGTCACCTGCAATCAACCTTGAGGACACACAGACACAGCTTCTGTTGATGGCAACACAAGGGATGACAGTGCTGGCAGATTTTGGTGAGCAAGGGTTCACTGCTAAATGCTGCTAAACAGCTACAAACAAGGTAGATTAGAAGCCATTCATGGTTCTCTGTTTTCAAACTACACCCAACCTCAGCATAAGATTAATAAATATTATTCTTTCCTGACTGAATGCACTCTGTGTTTAGATTCTAATTGCTGTGCACAACATAAAATGAACCCAGTTGTTCTGCCTGTGTCACGTGTCAAGAGAATAACTCTGCAGAAGAAAGGCAAAACCAGTCTGGCATATGTTTTCTGCATCCCACTGAAGTACCATTTTCCCAGGCACTGCCTGAGGCAACAATCACCAACAAAGCTCAGTGAGAACACTGAAAATGAGAAAATCACAAACGAAACATTAACAGTCACATCCACTTTATCAACATCACACAGACTAACTAAGCAAGTGGACTTAGCAAACCTGACTTACATTACTTTCTCATTTTGCTCTGACCTAGTGATTTAGGATTCACATCAAGGAACATTAATCAAAATAAAGAGCTTGTTATCTTGCCACTAATATTTATTTGACCCATAAAGTAATTTTTTTTTTTAGAAGACAGACGTGGGAATTTCAAATATTCTATAGGAAATAGCTTTTTAATACCCTCCAGTTTTTTAAAATAACATAGCTGTAAAGAATTTTGGTACACAAACCCTGGTTCTATCACCAAGACAATCATATAACTATTACTTCCTGTCAAGTCCTAACCACCTGCACATGTGGAAGTCATTATAAAGTCAGTTAAGTGGCTGACTACAGATACATGATTTTATTTCACATTTCTAAATAATTCTTGCCTTAAGGTTTCCATCTTGCTATGATTTGTAGAGCCAGCTGCAGATGCATTTTGTGCTAAACTGTGTAAGCTATTATTATTATATTTTCACTAGTCCAGCTCATAGATAGGTATCACAAATTGCACTGCTTTTTTGCATAGACATTTTGTCACTATTTCAGAAATATATATGGGGGATTTGACTATTTGGTTTAGTATTTGGAGGTTTTTTTAAAGTAATTTGCATATACTAAAAAAGGTAAAAATTTTAACTGGAAGTAAGAAAAACATTGAGAAGCATAAAACCACATGACACTGAGAATATTTTACACAAATTGAATGATTAGATAAGGGAAACCAAACACAACTTTTAATTACTCCAATAATATTTTCAATTTAAAAATACAAACGCTATTGAAATGTCTCTCCATTTTCTTCTGTTCAGCATTATTTCCTTGTAACTTCATTAGTATGAGAGAATAGAACGTAATGGAGTTTCTACAGAGGTTTTCTGTCTTAATTCCTTAACTGCAACTCCCTGCCATGCTCCCAGTGTCACTTCTACCATTCAAGAGATGCCAAAATTATGATCCATTTGCATATGCATATTGATTATCTAAGTAGCTGCGGCTTAACAGAATTTATAATGGCTGAGAGTTGCTTGTCTGGTCAGCAGAGGGAATGCTCATTTCCTCTGCACATCTGCTGAAGGTCACAAAACTCATGGGAAGCAATACCACAGACTTTTTTTCCTCTCTAGTTAGACTTAATGACAGTTTGTTTTAAAAGGCATAATTATCACAGGTGGATTTGATTGCATATTCTTCAGCTATTTAAAAAAGAAATAAAATAAGAAATGCATTTTCGTTTCCCAAACTTGCAAAGACCAAACTCTACCACACACCTGTAAGCTGCAGAAATTTGTACTCGGGTATTTAAATTAAATGCACTCATTTCATTATCAGACAGAACTTTGTGTCAAGGAAATTGAAGTTTCCTCCAAAGTAATTAAAGGTTTCAAAATTCACAACTGAAATATACAGTACTCTTATAAATTAAAAATTCAGCAGCTTTTTCATGGTTTGCATCCTACCCCTGTCATGTATATTAATAAAGAGAAGTTTCTTATTATATTTTGGAATCATCCAAGCCAGAGTTGTAGGCTCCCTTAGGTACAATGTTAGGAACAGATGGCCATCTATTCACCTCAAAAGAAAATTGGTGTTTTGATAATGAAATCTTGATCACCTGCCATCTGTTTGCTAACGATTAGGAGCAACAGGATCATTTGTCTGACGAGAAGCGCATCTTGGACAACTTTGAAGAGTCTGATGATCTTGATTCACAAAATAATTTAGACATCAAATATTAAAAAGGTTATCACTGAATTCAAGGTCTTCATTTCTCTTGCCAGGTTTTGACTTTTTGCTGAGATCCTAGCTGGAAATTATATGTATATTAAACTATTCCATTTTCTGAAACCACACACACATAACCTTCATGCCACCATTTTGTAAAGTTTTGGCTTCCCAAAACAAAGACATAAGGTGACACTTGAACTCTGCAACAATAATCAAAGTAACAAACCCTGTTGGTTTCCAAGCTAGCATTTGCAAACACCAAGTGCAGCAGCAGAGGGAAGGGCTGACCTCAGCCATGCATTTGCTGTGGAAGGGTGTCATTCCCTGCCTGCTGCTTCTTTGAGGCAACCCCTGCTTGCAGGTGCTGCAGTAAGATTTTTATTGAACACAAAAATAGCCAACTACACCATGTAACTGCATGTATAGAAAGCTTATTTCTCTCAGGGGGAAACAGAATACAGCTCAAAAACAAAGATCTTACAGCTATTGTGCCTATAAAGGGTAGGAGTTTCTCCTCAGATTTTCCTTTGTACTTCAGTTACTTTCAGACTGTCTGAGCTTAGCAGCCCAAGAAAATATTTCTGTGGATGTACAAGACATGATGTCTTCACTTCTGAGGCTGGCTAGCATAACATTATCCCCTGACCATCTCTGAAGTCTCCTGCCTTCCCATCTTGATCTTCTTCCCACTGTGCCCAGCTCTCTCCAAGTTAGCCTCTTGCCCCTCTTGCAGCCCAAGGCTCAGTGAAGCCCAGACATGGCACAGCCAGACCATGGCATGTGAGCAGTTGTGCCCTTCATCCTTCTCCTGGGATATGGCCTTAACACAGCACACACAGGGTAAAGGCAAACAAATTTCCAGCTCCTCTAGCATCCATCACTCCCACCAGGAATCCGAGAGGGATTCCCTCCAGATATGACCCAGTGCTGAGTCTGTGCCTAAGGTGATGTTCCTGGACAGTCAGAACCATCAGGACTTTTGCTTGTCATGTTTCTACTTACATGCCATATTTTTGACAAGAACAAATTTACCCTCATATATTTTGAATTCTTTTTCTTAGTATTCAGTACCTTCTTATTTTAGAAGTGCCTCTATAATAGAAGGCTTCCCTTACAAGCAAGACAGCAGTTTCTCAGGAGATTGCACAATTGCCATGTTTCTTCTTTACTGGATACAGCAAGGGATGCTTTTTCTGAAATGACTGCTACAGGATGTAATATATCTTTATATTTCTCTCAATACACCACAGTAGATTGTGATACATCTGTGGGTGCACCACAGTAGATTGTGATACATCTGTGGGTGCAGCAGAAGACTTTTTGGGTTGGTTTGGTTTTGGGTGTAAAGTCAAATGTCCGTTTCACCTGACCTGATGTGGATTTTCCATTATAGCAGTTCTAGAAATTGCTACAGTTTTAACACTCGGCAGATATTGTTTATGGTGATATTTTTGTTTGCATCTTGGAAGCTCCATCAGTATAAATAACTGTATCTTTCTCTATTATTTTCCAGCAACACAGAAACGAAAATCTGTCCCTTACCTTTTCAACATCACATTGTGCTATATCCTGCAGAAAAACCTGGTTTCTGTCCTCTAGCTTTGAGACAATGGTTCATTTGGCTACTCACTTATGAATCATCTAATCAACATTGTCCACGTAATCTTCTCTAATAATACTGATATTCTCCAATAAAGCCATTCTCACACAGGGAGCAAAACTAGCTGTTATTTCTACCCTCTATGGGTATTTATATTTTTTGAGAGAACAAATACTGTTTCCCTTTCAGTGACCTTCTTTGAATTCTTCCCACAAGCCTTGTTTTCTATCAAGTGGTACATTCATGTTTTCCTTCCATGCCTCCTGTCTTAAGTTGAGAATACATTTTGCTACATGCCTTTTCTCAGAAACACTTCTCTGCCAACTCACAGAATTCCATTCTATGTATTAACTGGGAAACTCAGTTTGAGCAGCTTTATGTTTCAAACCTTCCCATAGAAGATTTTTTTATATTTTCCCCTCTTCAGGCTCTGTTCCTCTTGGCTCATCCTATATTTCCCAACAGATTTCTCATCCCATCCCATCCCATCAGAGACACAGAACAGCTTCTCCCATGCCAGCGTTATCCCAATCTTCTGCACTTCCCCAGGTCCCTCCCAGCTTCACCAGGGAAATTCTCTGCTCGTGCCTGTCCACTCCCTTGCCCAGAAGGCAGCACCCGGTTGTCTTTGGACATGAGCTGCTGGCCACAGCCTGACAGGCAGCAACCGGAGCATTGGGCATCAGATGCTGGGCTGATGTTTTTTCCCAGAAAGCAAGAAAAACAGAAGGACACAAGGAAACTTGACAGTATCTCTGTAACTGTCCTCTGGAAGTCAACAGTGGATGGTGTTTCTCTGCTGCAGATTATCACTTCCAAGCAAAAATCATTTCAGGTAAGAGCAACAGCTTCTGACAGATACCAAGTGCGGCTACCAAGTGCTGCTCCAGATGCTCCTGCCTGCAGCCTCCTGCAGAAAGGATCACACAGACACCAAGGAACGTTGGCTTTGGCTCTCCTCTGTCACAGAAGTCCCCCAGGGCCACAGGTCTCTGTGGCAGGAGACAGGCACCAGCATTGGCAGGGCTTGGGGGGTGGCTGGTCTCCTTTGGCAGGGACTCTGCCACACCTGCTGATGTCAGCACTCGCCAGGAGTCAGAGCAGCATTCGTGCTCTGGGCCACACGTCCCATGTCTGCGTCACACCCCTGGCGTGTGTGAGAGCCACCCAGCACTGGAATTGGTCCCAAAGAGGCCGTGGCAGCTTCTGGAGAAGCTCCAGGTGCCCTTCCCACTTCGGCTCCGTTGGCAGCTGTGGGGGCTCCTGCTGCGGCCCTGAGCAGGCAGAGCAGAGGAGCAGCTGCTGCTTGTTTGGGCCTTTCCTAAAGTTCCTGTCGGAACTTCACCACTTGGGTGGGGTCTTCACCACTTGGGGGAAGGTCTTCCTTGCAAGCTGGGGCAGTTTGGGTGGGGTGGGCGTGTCCCCAGGGCACGTGGAAGTGTGTCATAGAGCTCTTTGTGACACGTCCTGACATAGGTGCTGGTGGCCACACGGCCACGCCACAGCGCTCGGTGCACACAGCGGGACAGGACGGGACAGGGCGGTGCTGTGAGGAGCCCCACACAGCCGACTTCTTTCCTGCTGACCTGGAGCTTCTTCAAGAAGTTTTCTGTACAGGTGACCTTGAGGCCAGACTGTGGGACTTGGGGATCCATAGCATTTCCAAGGTTTCTCTTTTGCAGGTGCCCTCAAGGACAGTCTGGAGGACTTGCTGACCCAGAGCCTTTACAAAATATCTCCTGTCACTGTGGTAGGAGGCCTTCAGGGGAGACTGTGGGAGGCTGCAGGACTTACTGTTCTGTAGCCTTTCCAAGCCTTCTCTATTGTAGGTACATTCAAGGCATGGCTGCAGCAGTTGCTGACCTGCGGCTTTTTCAAGGTGTCTCCTGCAACTAGCCATAAATCCAGACACTGACATGGCAGAGACACCTCCAAGCCTACCCAAGAAGGTGGAAAAATGCCCTAGTGCTGCCCCACCACAGCAACAGAATGACTTGCCACAGTTCCAGCTGCTGGAGAAGGGTGAGTGGCAGGGCTGGGCCACACGGCTGGTGCCTGCAGCCAGCTTTGCCCCGCCCCGCCCCATCCCATCCCATCCCATCCCACTGGACATGCCCATGGATAGGACAGAAGAGGGGCTGGGGCAGGAGCCCCTGGTAGCCTGGGGCATTCCGGGGCTGTCCCTGCCTGGGGACCGCAGGGCTGGGCTGTGTTCTCTGGCCTCTCCTGCAGCTCTTCAGCTCTGGCATTCCTTTCTCTTTGCCAGCTGCAGGGAGGGACCAGACACAAGGACCAGACTCTACCCATAGCTGCTGGCACTCTGTATGCCAGGTACTGAGAGCCATCCCCACCTTGTCAGCTGAGCATCACCGTTGGAGCACCCAATGGATCATCCCTCTCTTCCCTACTGTTCCTTCTTTTGCAGATGTTTACGAACCTCACAGGCACTCGGTGCCGAGAGATGAGCAGCATGTTTACCAAGGCTGCAGCAGAGCCGGGCCCCACAGCCACTCAGAGCATAGCTCCTGCTCCCAGCCTGGATCTCTTTGGGGACAGAGTTGTCTCCAGTCCAAGTCAAGTAAGCAGCTTGTGGCTAGGGCTGGGTGTCTCCAGGAACTGGGTGGCGCCTCAAGCCAGTTCCACTGGCCTTCTCAGCCTTTGAGGCCCAGCCCAGTGTGGTGGGAAGGGAAGCACTGCTCAGGGAAAGCTGCTGCTGTGGCAGCTCTTCAAGTCTCCCCACGCCTTCTGCAGGTGCCAGGCTTTGTTAGGAACATGCACCAGAGGCTTGTGTCCAATGGGCCTCCAGACGAGGGGCTGTTCATGGACATCCTGAGGCTGACTGAGGCACACCCCACTGATGTTGCAGTGACCCTCCTGCGCTGTGCCCCATCATGTGACAGGTACAGGGCCCACCTGCCTCGAGGGCTCAGGTCTAAGCAGCCTGTAGGCCCCACCACCCTGTACCGCCAGTCCAATGGGGTCTGCTAGACAGGCAGAGAGTTCCAGAAGCCACTGGACACTCCATTTCCCAGCCCTGGCTTGTCAGCCCATTAGCCTCCTGACATGCTCCCTCCTTACCCCTCAGGGCACTGTGGCTCTGTCATCTGGGCCCTTGTGGCTGCCCAGACCACAGTGCTCTGGCTGAGACCCTCCTGACACACAGCTCTGGTCCTGCAGAGGTGCTGCAATCATGTGGAAGACCATAGCCTCATCAAGAACAGCACTGGAAAAGGTGCTGCCAACACTGCTTTGTGTGATGGAGGGCTGGCCACTGCAGAAAATGTACACCTCTGATGGGGACAATGAGGATGTGTTTGCTCTGGCTGTGAGTTTCTGTAACTGGCCTTTGCTTGCACACAGGTTGCTTCTCCAGTGCCTCTCCATCCTCTCCCCCACTGCAACGCTTCTCCCTGCCTCAGGCCCTGGGCTGACGCCTGGCTTAGGGGCAGGTTCAGGGGCACTAGCCAGATGCTCCCCCTGTGTCTCCCCTGGCCTCTCCCTCGTATGCTCAGGCCTTGCCACTTGGCACTGAGTGCTGTCTCTAAATGGTTTATCCTTTGCAGGCAACCAGGGTGCTTTGGGAGATTCTCCGCCTGCCCTGGTGCCCAGAGCCATTTGTGGAATATTTCCCCAATCTCTTTGTGGCTCTGCTCTTCCAAGTTTACATCAGTACAGAGCAGGTATCAGAGGACATAAATACTTTATGGAAAAGATGTCAGGAGGAAAATGGCCTTCCCACCAATATCAACAGGTGCCGCTTCCCAGTCCTCCAGTCACTCCCACATCCCCAGGGCTGAAGCCTGGGGTCCCAGCATGACCTGGGCCTTTGCTCTGCGTACAGATTTGTAGTGAACACTGTGAGGGCACTGTTACACCATCTGCGTTGTCTGGATTTACTGATGGCAGTGGAACGCAAGTGTGCCTGGGACACGCTGCTCTGTGCCGACACCCACCACTATGCAGTGGGTCTGCTGGCCAGGTGAGACCTCATTCTCCCCACCACCCCTCTCCTTTGTGCCCAGAGCACCCCACGCGGTCCCCGTGGTCATGGGCGGCAAGGCCTTGTCCCCAAGGGAGGGATGAGCAGGCTGGAAAAGGCTGGGAGAGGAGGGTGCCCTGGAGCAGCTGCCTCCCAAAGTACCCGCTCGGGAGAAGACCAGACCTCTGTGAGTCGGCCCTGGGAGGGGTTTGGCCACTCAGCTCAGGAGCAATGGTGCCTTTTTCTCCCCTCCAGGGAGATGCGCCGTGTCAGCCGACCCTTCTGTTCCGGCACTGCATTCCGCCTGCTCAGGTGGCTCAGCAGGGAGGAGCCACGCTGGGATCTGGCTGCCCTGGCGTTCCTGGTGGAGGTGAGCCCGATGGCCAGCGCTGCCTCGCTCAGCTGCCTCCCACCCCTCTGCCCTCTTGTAGCTGCAGCTGCCTGGGACGGTGCCGTGCCCTGTGCTGCTGCCTTGGCTCAGCCCTGTGCGGTTCTGAGCTCCTGCCAGCTGGGCACTCCTGTCACTGCTCTGTGCCTTTCAGGTCCTGGACTGCCTGGACTTGAGTGAATGGGGTAACTTAATACTGGAGATCATGACAAAGTATCTGCAGAGCAAGTCCATGGAGAGGTGTCACCTGGCACTCAAAGGCCTCATGGTGCTCAGCAAGGACCCCTCGATGGTGAGAAGGAGGCAGCAGCTGAAGCTGTGCTGGCAGCGTGGGGCTGGGGAAAGCAGCCCCTTGGGCTTGGGGAGCTGTGCCAGCTGCTCCCAGCTCTCCAGGGTCGCTGTTCAGCTGCCTGAGTGCTCTGGGACGGGCCTTTGGCCTCTGGGCTCCATGGCAGGCAGGTGGGGTTGCACCAGGAGCATTGCTGGCGGTGCAGCTTTCCATGGATTCACAGCACAACCTTTGTTCCGCATAGGCCAAAAAACTATGCAGCCTCTCTGAACGCCTTGTGGAGCTACTGAGGAATGAAGACACAGAGGTGGTCAAGAGGAGTCTCTCTGTGTTCACAAATCTACTCCTGAACAAAGATATCCTAACATCCAGCTCTACAGCCCCAAAATTGGCTGAGGTGCTCCGGCCCCTCTTTGACTATGTAAGGCTCTGTGCCCCCAGCCTTGGCCACTGGGTGCTGCCCAGAAGTGTGGTGCCCTGTGGATTTTTGGGCCTGTGCACAGGGGGGCCTGGAGAATCCAGTGCTGAGGTTTTTTCCTTTCCAACAGGACAACAGCCATGTGCAGCAGCTCTCCATTCGCCTCTATCGAGATGTGATGGAAACAGTAGTGGAACAGGGAAAGAAGCCCCTGAAGATGCTTGTGAGCCAGAGCCTGCTCCCGCTCTTCTTCCATTGCCATGATGAGAACCAGCGTGTGGCACAGGTGAGGGCTCCTGGGCGCCGGTGTCCCCATGGGAGGGGGCTCAGCCGGCTCCCCACACCCTGGCTTCTCCTCATGGCTCCAGCCCCCTCCTGGCCTTGGCATAGGGACGCGGGTCCTGTGCCCGGGGCTGCGGTGCCATCTCCGGGGCTCTGCCGCTCTGCAGGCCTCTCGGGAGACGCTGCTTTGTGCAGTAACTTTCCTAAAGAAGAGGAAGGATCTCCAGCGGCTGCTGAAGACGGATGACCTGTGGAGCTTTGCCGAGCGCTTGGTAAGGACAGCCCGGGAGCCCCAGCCCCAGCCCCAGGAGCCGCCTGCCCACGGTGCCCGGTCTGTGGGGCGCAGCTGCGGCCCCTGCCCAGCGCTGCACGCAGGGGCACCGGCCGGCGCCCCACACGCCGCTGCCTTCCCTGGGCCGCAGGGCTCTGCTCCAGCTCCTCCGGCCCCAAGGCCGGTGCTGAGGGAGCCCCGAGCCAGCCGGGCTCTGCCGCGGGGCGGCACCGCGGCTCGCCGGGCCCTCTGCCCCTGCAGAGCCCGGAGCTGCGGCTGCCGGCCGGGCTCGGGGCTGTGTGGGCAGGGGCAGCGGCGCCGGGCGTAGGGAGCGCCCGGCCGAGGGACAGAGCCCACAGCAACCCTTCCCTCCGTGCCCTGCCGCTCTCTGCAGCTGGCAGAGGACAGGAGCCGAGCGGCCGAGCACCTGCGCCGGGCCCTGCCCTACCTGCAGAGCCCGCAGGAGCCCCTGCGAGAGGCGGCCGTCAGGACTGCTGGTGAGTGACAAACCGGGGCTCGGTCCCTCCCTTCCCCATTGCAGCAGCACCAGGGCCAGGGGCCGTGACAGGCTCTGTGTTCCAGGGATCGCCGGGCTGCTCATGAGGGGGCAGCCAGAAGAGCTGCAGCTCATCTGTGAGGGTGAGTCAGGCCAGCGGGCTGTCAGGAGGAGCTGCCAGGGGAAGCTGCCATCCCTGCCCCAGCTGCGGATGGCTGTGCTCCTTGTGTGGATGAGGGGCACCATGGGGAGAGCACAGAGCCATTTCAGAGGTCTGCCGGAGAGTTGTGGCCAGCACCTT